AGCAGGGAGCCCCGTTGCTGTCAGCCCTGGGGGTGGAGGCCCGGCCCACTGCTGCCACCGGCCAGGCCTGCAGGTCTGCCCTAAATGCAGGAGCTGGCCCTCCCAATGGGAGCAGAGGTGTCCCAGGCAGCTCGCTGTGCAGAGGGGGAAACTGAGGCTCAGGGAGGGGGAGGGGCTTGCCCTGAGTCATCCAGCAAGGAAGAGGCAGAGCAGGGATCCTAAGGCAGCCATCTAGACCCAGGTGCCGCGGGGCTCAGACACAAGCCCTTCCTCACGCGCACACCCGCTCACCGACATGGGCACACGCAGCCGCCCCCGCAGCGCTCAGGGCCTGGCTCACTCTGCCCCGGGCAGTGAAGGCGGCCCCACCAGCCACCGGTCCAGCTCCTCCGGGTCCTCCCTCGAGTTCCCACGGGGCTGGGCAGCACCCTTCAGGGAGATCCCCTCTAGGAAGGCCCGGGAGGTGTCCAGTAGTGCGGTGGCGAGGGAGAAGGGTGTATGTGGAAGGAGGCCCCACATGGGCACAAGTACCAAGGAGCCGCAGCATACGCTTTTTTTTTTTTTTAAGATTTTATTTATTTATTTGACACAGGAAGAGAGAGAGAGAGCAGAAGCAGGGGGAGTGGCAGGCAGAGGGAGAGGGAGAAGCAGGCTTCCTGCTGAGCAAGGAGCCCGATGTGGGCTCCATCCCAGGACCCTGGGATCATGCCCTGAGCTGAAGGCAGACTCCTGACCGACTGAGCCACCCAGGCGCTCAAGCTCATACCTTTGTGAACAGAACTCTTGACACCTGCCCGTGCCTTAAAAGGACACAGGCCAGGCTAGCCCTCGAAAATCCCCCCGTCCAGAAAAGACAGACGTGGGTCCAAACACTATGCCAGTGGGGCTAGGTAAGAAGGAGGGACCCACAGCTGAGGATCCAAGATGGGAAGCCAGGAAGGCTTCCTGGAGGAGGTCCCATAGGAGCTAGGGCTCTGAAGGATGAGTAGGAGTTTACCAGATGGGGGGAGGCCCGGATTCAAGACCTCCCTCAGACTAGAGAGACAAATGGATGGAAATAAGTGCCTTCTCCCATCCTTCTCCCTGGGAATGAGCAAGAAACCAGTGCCTCCCTGAGGCCAGGAGCTCTGCAAGAAGGAGGCTGTTGACCTCGAGAACAGGAATGCCTGGCCTGTGTCTCCTGGGAGGCTCCATGGAAAGGTGGAGCCTTAGGGCGTTGCCTGGGCACCAGGATAATGAGCAGAGTTTCTTGGCACTACCAAGGAAAGGTTCCAGAAACACCCACATACACACACCCTCACCCTGATTGGAAGGGTTCCTTGGAAGATTGGAAGGGCTCGCCTGGCTGTGTGACTCTGGGTTACTCATCACCCCTCTCTGGGCCTCGTCCCAGCCCTGGGCACTCTGTGGCCTCCAGCTAGAAGTAAGGGCGTCCTTGAACCGACTTTCTGGAGTACAGACTGTAAGGGACCCCAAGAAATGGGTGGGCTCCCTTCCCTGGGCAGTGAGGATTCTCCAGGGTCTGGACATTTTCTGAGAGTTGAGAGGACACCACGGCCAGGCCCTGTCTGAGCAGTGAAGGAGGCCCTGGACGAGTGTGTCCCCATGTGTGTGAGCTTGTGGCCACGAAGTGAGAATGGCAGAGGCAAGCAGACGGCAGGCCCAGTTCAGTCCTAGGCCAAGCGTGCAAACCATGTGGGACACCCCACGCCTGTAGGTGTGTGTCCCTGAGTGTGCACAGGTCGAGTGCTCAGGGGAGGGCTTGGGGGCAACATGCCTGCATGGCCAGACCTGCTGTTCTCTGGGCCAACGTGCCAGAGACCATGTGTGTTGTTCATGAGAGTCTGAAAACGCTTGTGTGGGGGCTCCCAGGTGTGCAAGAGGCTAAGAACACCCGAGGGCCTGGGAGGGTGAGAGCTCCGAAGGATGCGGGCAGCCGGTCTGTGCTGTGTGAGAGTGCCCAAGTGTGCAGACATGCTAGTGTGTGAGCAGGGGTGTGTTCAAACACGATAACCTACGAGTGCGGTGGAAACTGCCCAGGTGTGACCATGTGTGAGCGTGAATTACGCCAGCAGGTAAACAAGGCTGCCATAATGTGTGAGTGTGAGTGTTAACATGCCTCAGTGTGAGCGCCCAAGATTCTGAGTGCAGGACACTAGGATGTGAGTGAGGTAGTGATAGGGCGTGTGAGAATGGTTGAATGCGCGATTGTGTTCAAATAAGTGAGCGTGATCACGTTGGAAGATATGAGTATGCACACACTCGTTGGTGATTGTGTTTATGTCTGTCGAGTAATCTTCCTTGAGGGTGTGAGTTGTGAAAACTTCTGGGAGTGTAATAATGTCGGGAGGGTGTGTGACAATGCCCTCGTGCGTGAGTGTGCTCCCGTTCGGATGGAAGTGTGAGGACACCGGCCCGTGTGAGTGTGACACCATGGCCATGTGTTTCCAACATGAGTGAAAATGCCCGTGCGCACGTGAAAACACCTGTGTGTGTGAGCCCCACCCTGCTGGATGGAGTTGGTGAGCACGAGTGCAGGGAGTGTCAGTGGGACGATGTCGCAGTGTGCAAGCGACAGCGTGTCCCAGGGTGTGCGTGCAGGAGTGTCTGGGAGTGCACGGGAGTGAGAGCACCCAGGTGCGTGACCGAGGACAAGAAGGCCGAGTGTGAGTGAGTGTGAGCCCCCACGTGTGCTGTGAGCCCACCTACCCAGGACCAGGAGCCTCAGGGACCCAGACACACCGTGCACAGCAGGCCGCCTCCCCGAGCCCTCGGCCACACGCGCAGCACCCCTGTGTGTCAGGGCCGCACCAGACACAAACCAGTTGGGTGACCCCCTTACTGAAAGGCCCATTGTTAACAGACGCTTATCAGCCGCACCCACTGGGCCCCCTCCACCCTTGGCCCTCTGCTTTCCTGCCCCCCAGCAGAGCTCCGGGGGGTCCGCGGCTCCAAGGACACCGGGGGCTCTGGGGGCCAGGCCGGCTCTGGGCCCATCCAGCCTCTCAGGCCCTCGCCCCCCCCCCCCTCCCTAGGAAGGCCTCTGCAGAAACACAGGACCAGAGCCTGGCACCGGGCGGGGGCCTCGTTCCAGCCTAAGAGGGAAACGGAGGCACACCAGGGCAGGACGTGTGTGAGAGCAGGCAGGGTGTTGGGCGTGCAGAGAGGGCTTTATGGCCCCAAAGCATAAAGCAGATGCTCCTTCAGGCCAAGGGGCGGGTTGGGGCACCTGACAACTGCGAGGCTGCCGGCTGCTCGCTGCACCAGCGTGACAATGAGATGTGCTCCCCGTGGCCACCAAGGCCCTGCGCGACCTGCCCAGGCCCGGGCCTGGCCCCTCCCCCACCGCTCCCCCTCACCAGCCTCCCCTCCTCCTCCCTCCGCCTCACTCACTCTGTTCCAGCCACAGGGGCCACCAGTGTTCCACCCCCACGCCGGATTCACAAACCACCAGCGGGGCAGCCAAGCCCTCGAGGGGGACACCACGGGCATCGGGCAACGGCGCCCAAGCCCAGCCCCGCGCAGCCCCTGCATGTGTGTCCCACCCAAGAAGGCAGATTCCAATCCCAGATGCTTTCCTAGCTGTGCCCTTGCCTAAGCCCCTACCTGCTGTGTGCCGCCTTTCCCCAGCTGTAAGTGGAGCTCACCATGCCTCCTTGGTGGGCTCAGCTCCGGCTCTGGTACACAGCCGGCGCTTAATACATGTGCCCTGCTACTGTCCAGCGGCTGTAGGTCTCGGGCCAGCAATTCCGTGGGGCGGAGGTGCCGGGTTGGGAGGGGACGGGGAGAGGCGGTTCCAGACCCAGGGAGCCCAGCCTGCCCGTGTGGGGTCCAGGCCAGACTGAAATGCAAATCACACGCAAATGCTCCGCACAGGGGAGCCTGAGCCGCCCGAGGTGCGCGCGTGGGGGCGCCCGGCACCCCACATCCGAGCCCTGGCGCTGACCGGCCTCCAGCGCGGCTTTCAACCCTCCGTGTAAATGTTTACACCTGGCGGGCCGCCAGGCCCCGCGCTGGCCGCCACCAGGCTGCCAGGCCTGGGAATGTAAACCCAGGTTGGGGGCCGCCCAGAGGCGGGGAGAAGCTCTGGCCCTGCTGGGCGGGAATGCTCATGCCTCAGGAAACACCTACTGTGTGCACTCAGGGCGCCGGGGCTAGGCGGTCCCAGCACTGGGTCATCCGTGAAACACTGCAGGAAGGATGGGGCCACTGGGGGTGCACACCTGCTCCAACCCGGAGCTGGGGGTGGAGAGAAGGGCGCGGGTAGGAGCAGCCAGAGAAGGCTTCCTGGGGGAGTCGCTGTCCAAGCTGAGACTGAGAGGGGGTTGGGAGTGGGGAGGAGGAGAAGGGAATGTGCTGGGTGGGAGGACGGGCTTGTGCAAAGGCCTGCGGGTGGGTGGGTGGAGTGCAGCTTAGGTCCATGGACACCTGTTCCTGGGCAGTAGTTTCATCTCTGTCTGGAGGGGAAACCCAGGCTCAGAGAGGAGTGGGAGGTACTCCGGAGGACCCCAATGTCAGGAACACATTTGAGCACGTTGTCTTCCCCACGCCCCCTAGTCCCACCGTGGCCTCTGCTGGGAGCACCCTCACCTCCTTCCAGGCTCCCCTCCAGGCTCCCTGGGCTCCAGTCACTCTAGCCTCCTGGCTGCACTGGCCAACTTTGGTCCAGCCTCAGGACCTTTGCACTGGCTGTTCCCGCCTGCCTGAGATGCCATTCTCTTGTGCCTGGCCGACTCCTACCTTTGCTGTTCAAGCCTCAGCTTTCATCAATGCTCAGCAAAGCACTGTGGCAGCCCCAGATGGGGGCGGTTGCCCTGCTACTCCTGGCACAGTGCCCACCCCTTTCCTGGGCAGCATTTTTCACAAGCTCGTTCAGTGGTTCCTTGATGAGTCGTGTCTATGCTATTACTGATCATTAAGCAGAAGTGGCTGGAAGTCAGGGGCGCCACCGTGTCCCCGGCGCCTGGCCCAGCTCTCTGTTTCCATTTGTTGCCTGACAGACAGACAGACGGAGGCCGTGGGGCTGACCATCGCGTGCCCACAGGCCGAGGATGCAGCGCTGGAAGGCGGCAGCCTTGGCCTCGGTGCTCTGCAGCTCGGTGCTCTCCATCTGGATGTGTCGGGACGGCCTGCTCCTCAGCCACCGCCTGGGACCCGCACTGACGCCACTACGCCGGCCACCTCGCACGGTGGACGCCCGGATCGCCCGCCTGGCCCAGTGTAAGGGGGTCCCCGACTTAGGTCAGCTGCCCTGATACGGAGGCGGCCATAACGGTGGAACTCTATTTAGGGGCCACAGAGACTTAATTTAGATGGGGTGGGGAGTGTACAAATCCCCCCAAGGTCCTGGCAGAGGTAGTGGTGGAGGGGTTGCTGGGAACTGAGGGTCTCTGGGCTCAGCTGTCAGAAGGAATTAGGTTCTGGTCTCGAGGGACCAGGGGTCCGGATAGAGATTAGACCGGGGCATCCAGCCTCTGGGGTGGGGGAGCTCCCATGCGCTGCACGGGATGCAGGTACCGGAAGGCCGGACCCGAGACCCCAAGGACCTGCCCAGTGGACAAGGACCAAGGGTAGGGGAAACCCCGAGAGATGTAGAAATGGGGGGAGAAACAGAAACAGAGATGCTCAGAGACAGACAGACACAGGTTGGGAGAGATGGGCAGGGGAAATGCCTTGGGGTGGCGATATAGAACCGCCCCCTTCGAGGGGCGTGGCCTTCGCGCCCCCATCCCCACTCCTCCCTGGGACCCGCCCACTGCCCGCCCACCTGACGGAGTGGGGGTGGTAGGGCCTGGGTCCAGACCTCCTGTGAGTGCGCACGTGTCCACGCGGGCGCCACGCCGGGGCCGAGGTGTGGGCGCGATCACGGCGCGTGCATGGCGCCCGCGGGGTTACACCGCGTGCGGTTCGTGGGCAAGTCCGCGCCCGCCCTGTCGGCCCACACAATCCTCCTTTCTTGTCCTTACAATGGACAAGGGCAGCCTCAGGCACGGGCTCCACTTCCGCCCTCCGCTTATTCCCGTGGGCAGCAAAGTCCTTCCAAAGACCCTGAGTTCCAGTGACGCGGGTGAGGCCCCCAAAACCTAGCGCTTAGAGCCTGGTGCGGCAACAGTGACGGTGGGATCTCGGGAACCCACCGGGAAGGCTCTAGGCCCCTGGGCGTGGGTTACCCACCTGGCAGCCTGTTCCTGGGCGCAGTCCTACTAAGGAAAGAGAGTGGACGCTGACCCCCCAGAGTCCCCCCTGAGCCCAATGCGCGGGTGGTGGAATTGCAGGCTTGGGGCGGTGGGAGCGCCGGGTGGGGCTCGGGTGGGGCTCGGGTTGGGGGGAGCTATTGCTCCTCTCATCTCTGTGTTCAGACCCTGTGCCGGTGGCCAGGACTGCTGGAGGGAGGCAGGGACACATAGACCAAGAGAGCTTTCACTGTTTATCTGAAATGCAAATTTAACTGGGCATCTGTACTTTATCTGGCAACCTTCTCTGCCCCGCCCCCATGCCCCCCACAATGTGTAGATGTATACCTAAGGGCCGGGCACCGTACATGGTGGAAATTAGGCACCCTAAGTTAGGTAGGCTCCAACCTAACCCCAGAGCAGACGCCGCCGGCCACCCCAGTCCTCCCCCAGGACTGGAAACATGCTCAGTTGATCCCAATTTTCCACTGCCCCAGCCTCAGCCAGATCGGAACGCTCCGAGCTCCTTGAGCACACATGGCAACTGAAGCACAGAGCAGGGCCATCACCTGCCTGAAGTTTTACAGGGCTGGAACTGGCAGAGCAAGGCTCACAATTAGGGTCTGTCTGCTTTCTGAGACCCCCTGCGGAAACAGACACACCCTCTCCCTAGGGTCTCCCTGCAAGCCATTTCCTTGGAGAGCCAGGGGTGCGGCAGGCAGGGGATAAAGCCTGGGTGTCCTCTCCCAGCCACAAGCATGCCTGCCACCTGCTCAGAGGCTGGGAGTCCCTGCCTGCGGTTCCACTATCAGTGCCACCTGCCATTGGCATGCCTGCGAGGCCCTCCAGAGGACTGGGGGAGCCCAGCCGCCTGGCAAATAAATTTAGGCTCCAGGGCCCTGGGAATCTGTGACTCCGGGCACCTCCCGGCACCGTGGGAGCGCAGAGAACTGGACGCGGGCCAAACTTGGCCACACGAGGGAGGCAGGAAGAAGCCTGGGCTCGTGTCTCTCTCTCTGTCACCTGCTAGTGCTGTGGCCTTGGGCCAGTCTCTGCCCTACCGGATGGCCAGTTGTCTCACCTGTAACACGGGGGAAGGCCGGGATATCCCCTTGCTGCCTCCCCACGCGGTCCTCACACGCAGGCCTCGGTGTCTGCACGTTCTGAACAGCCCACCCAGCCCGATGTGGTGCTGCGCGTGGAGAAACTGAGTGCCAGCACGGGATGGAGCGGGAGTGGGGGTGGGTGCGGGTGTTGGTGGGGCCCCCACAGAGTGAGCTAGGGACTCATTAACAGCCCAGCGGAAGGGCCGGTGTCCAACACAGGGGCTGGGTCCAGAGAAGGCCATTGGGAGCCATGGGGCCTTGCCTGGGCTTCTGCACAGGCATCCCGCACGGCCTCCAGACAGGGACCGTTTAGGTGCCATGCTTGCGAAGTGGCCGTGAGCTGACACTTGGCCTTGGGAGGGTGCGCGAAGGCCCCCGGGTGCCGGCAAGGGCGTGTTTTCCGAGGGGAAGGGCGACGGTCGGAGCTCTCCCCCAGCCAGCCACCGACCCACCCCGCTCTGTGTCTCTCCTCGCAGATCGTGCGCTGCTGCAGGGCGCCCCGGACGCGGTGGAGCTGCGCCAGCTGACGCCCTGGGCCGGCAGGTCCCCGCGTCCGCACCGTCGGGCGGGGGCCCGGCGGAGGCGCGCGCGCGCGCGATCGGGGGCGCGGCCGTGCGGGCTGCGCGAGCTCGAAGTGCGCGTGAGCGAGCTGGGCTTGGGCTACGCGTCGGACGAGACGGTGCTGTTCCGCTACTGCGCAGGCGCCTGCGAGGCGGCCGCGCGCGTGTACGACCTGGGGCTGCGGCGGCTCCGCCAGCGGAGGCGCGTCCGGCGGGAGCGGGTGCGCGCGCAGCCCTGCTGCCGCCCGACGGCCTACGAGGACGAGGTGTCCTTCCTGGACGCGCACAGCCGCTACCACACGGTCCACGAGCTGTCGGCGCGCGAGTGTGCCTGCGTCTGAGCCTACCTCACCGGGACCGGCCCGACGGCGGCCACCCCCTCTACCCCTGCGCGGCGGCGCCCCCACCCACCCCGCCTGGCCAGGCCCGCGGCGACGGACTGCGCGTGCGCAGCAGGTGCCGTCCAGGCCTCCGGACTGTCCAGTTACTGCGCCGAGATAAAGTGTGGAAAATGGAGCTCGGGTGTGATTCCGCGTTCCGGGGGAGCCCACCTGTCGGAGGCACACGAGCCTGAGTGGGGTGGGGCGCGGCGCCAGCTCCACTGGTGAAAGGGGGACGGGCCAGGTACCACCTGCTTGGCGTACAGAAGGTTCTTTCCCTGCGGTAACACCAAGGAAAGTGGTGTGAGTGGGAACAACGTCGACGGGAGCCGTCCATCCCACTTGCCTTTAGGTCCCTGTGTCCCTTCCGACGTGTCCCGCTTCCACCGCCCCCAAAGGTGAGCTTCTGAATGGGAGGAGGGAGCCGAATGGCAGATGAGGAGCCTGAGGTCTTGGTGGACCCAGGCCTCCCTTCCCCAGAGGGCCTCCTTAGGCCCCGTCTACCCGCACGGAGCCACAGCCTCCTTTCACCGGCTAAAAATATATGTGCGCTGCCCATCTCCCCGTGGGGATAGGTCTGGGGCAGGCGCCAGCCCCGTCCAGCCCAAAAGCGGCGCTTGCTAGGGCAGAGCCCCATCCCCAAGGACCTAGGTCCTGGGCCTATTAAAGCCCTGGCCGAGCTCCTGAGGGGATTTACGATGTGTCCTCGCAGAGGACAGAAAAAGCGGTGTCACCCTGGTGCTTGGCAGGCCCGGGACAGCGTGGAGGATTGGGTTCCCAGACTTTGGGGAGGGGTCTGCACATCCCAGGGCCGGAGGTAGGTCTTGCTGGGGAACCCCACACCCTGGAGACCAGTGGGTATGGACCCTCCCGTCCTGCACCTGGAGTGGGGTTCTGGAGGGCACAAGCCCCTCCCACCCCAGACAGCTTCCTGAGCACATGGTCCCCTGTCTTCTTCCCTCACCCCAACTCCAGGGAGGCTCCCAGGAAAAGAGCCCTTTCCCTCCTTCACTGTTCTCCTAGACTGCCCTCTCCCCTCTTTCCCACGCATCTGATATTAGGGCCGCCATCTAAACACCATGACCCAGCCCAGGCCCCCTCCTGAAGCTGGAGGGCCCCGTCAGAAGCTGCCCCGGGAAGGATCACCCAGCCGAACGGGAACATCCCCTGTTCCCTGCTACTTGGTCCCCGGCTGCAGCTGGAGACACTCGAGGCAGCTACCAGGCAGGACTTCCAGGCAGTCCTGAGAGCAGGGCTAGGCCGAGGGGTGGTCGGCTTGGTAGGAAGTTTCAGGGCGGAGACTGTCTGGGGTCTCCGCCACCCCCCCCCCCCACCGAACAGCCCACCCTTCCTTCACCTCCATCCCCCGTCTTCTGAGGTTTTGGGTGGTGGACCCCTCCTCCTTTTGGGCTGAGTCGGCTCAGCTGTGGCAGAGAGGCTGGGGTCCACACTGCTTGGGTCAGAAGCCAAGCCTCAGTTTCCCCATCCCAGATGGCCCTGAGCCACAGAGGCGGAGTTCCCTCAGCCCAGTGTACACAGTGGGAAATTTGACCTTGGAGCCCAGGTCTGTGGCCCCCGAAACCTGTCTGCCTCCGTGTGTGTGTGTGTGTGTGTGTGTGTGTGTGTGTATGTGTGTGTGTGTGTGTGTGTGTTGAGGTCGTGTGTGTGTGTGCACCCTCTCATGGCCTCCTGGGACTTCCTTGTCTCCTGCTGAGTTCCAACATCCCAACCATGGGGCTCTGGCCAGCCCCCCAGAGCATTGGAGAGAGACTCAGCTGCCCCCACAGATGCCCGGGGCTGGGGTTGTCCGCAGTCCGCACACACACACACACACACACACACACACGCACGCACGCACACCCAGCGCAGAGAGTGGTACCTACATGGTGCTTAGGAGATCTGATCACACGAGGACACATAGCCCAGATGCTTCCACAGTCGAAATCGCACAGGAGGAGGGACACCCTCAGTGTCCCCTCTCATGTGCAAGACCGGGGGGGGGGCGTCTGGTATCCGGCCACACCCAGTGGGATCTCTCCCCAGTGGCCTCACTCCAAGCTCACCCCCTCCCTGCCACAGTCAGCCCTGATCACACACACTCTATGGTCTACATGTGCTCAGCACCGCAATCTTTCCCCTCCCCGTCCTTCAGGGGCCAGTCCCTGCCCTTCCTCCACTCTTGTCCCACCCCTGCCCCCCATGGGTCCCCAGACAGTCTGGTCCCCACTCCCACCCACTGTGGGGCTTGACCTCCAGGGTTTTACCACCTCTTGACATTGGTACCCAGGCCGTTCTTGGCTTTGGGGGCCTTCCTGGGCCTGTGGGCTGTGAACAGCGTCCCTGGCCCCCTCCCTCCGGATGCTCTCAGCCCACCTCCTGCTGTGCCAAGCACAAGCCTCCCGGGCCTTTGCCTGGCGGAGGTGCCTGGGGTGCGAGCTGCTACTCTCAAATGAGGGAGAAGACAGCGGTTTTCCCGGGAGCATTCCCATGTGGAGAACGGAGCCAGTGTTGCCCACCTGCGTACCCCGCGGGCGGCTGGCGACAGCAAGGATAACCCGTCACCAGTGAGCGGGACCCCAAGGCCAGTTCTCCCCGGGGAGTCTTAGCGGGTGAGGGGTGCAGCAGGTGAGGCCCCCGTTCAGAGGGGCTCCTCGCAATGAGTCCCAGGGAGGCTAGGGGACTGGTTTCAGATCCCCAGCAGGCGAGGTCCCCAACAGCTGACGTCCCCGGCAGGTAAGACCCCCCTGGAGGTGAGGCCCCTGGAGGCAAGGTCCCTTGGAGCTGCTCTTCTGGAGCTGAGGTGCCCGGTAGGTGATGTCCCCGCTCAGGGAGGTCCCCAGCGGTCACGCGCCCGGCAGCGAGGTCCCGGCAGGTGCGTCTGGAGCAGTCCACGGCCCAGGCCGGCCAGCCCACGTGAGCCAGGAGGCTCTGCTGGGCGCCGTCTGGTCGGGGGCCTCCTGTTGCTGCCACCAGCGGGCTTTGCAGAACGTCAGGGCCAAGCTGAAGGTTTGAGGCCTCAAGTCCTCTTGATGTCGGGGTTGTGAGTTTGAGCCCCATGTTGGGTTCAGAGATGACTTAAAAATAAAGTTTTTAAATAAAAAGAAAGATCAGGGATTCCTGGATGGCTCATTCGGTTAAGCATCTGCCTTCCGCTCCGGTCAGGATCCCCGGACCCTGGGATGCTGTATTAGGTTCCTGGCTCAGTGGGGCGTTGCTTTCCCCTCTGCCTGCTGCTCCCCTGCTTGTGCTCTCTCTCTCCCTCTCCCTGACAAAGAAAAAATAAATAAATAAATAAATAAATATAAAGAAAGATCAAACAACACCGAAAGCAACCTCAGATAGTCAATTCAGTGATTGGAAACCTGGAAGTATATATGGAACGTCCCAGATGTGCAGATTTGCCTCTTCAACTGTCCATCTTCTGGAGTTAAATACTGATCAAGGATCGCGGATGAAAACTGAGCGGCCAGACTCTCGGCGCACCCAGTGTAAAAGACTCACCGGATTTCCAAGGCACAGGATCAGAGAGAGAATGTAAATATCTCAGTAATTTTCATATTGATTACACATGGAAATCATACTAGTTAGGATCTATTGGGTTGAGGACAAGACAGTCTTTTTAAAATTAATTCCGCCATATTATTTTTACATTTTTGAAAATGTGGCTACTAGAAAAGTATTACATACATGTGTGGCTCTGTCGAAAGCCTGTCGTGCGGATTGGTGGAGCGTGCAAGTCTTGATTTCAGGATTGTGGGTTTGAGCCCCATGCTGGGTGTAGAGATTACTTTTTTTGAAAAATTTATCTATTTATTTGACAGAGAGAGAGATCACAAGCAGGCAGAGAGGCAGGCAGAGGGAGGGGGGGAAGCAGGCTCTCCCCTGAGCAGAGAGCCCGATGCGGGGCTCGATCCCAGGACCCTGAGATCATCACCTGAGCCGAAGGCAGAGGCTTAACCAACTGAGCCACCCAGGCGCTCCCTCCCCAAAAGCATGTGCTGCTCTAGAATGTCTAAGAAAGGAAAACTGGTGAGCATCATAATTTAAAATGCCCCGTACCCCCTGGCCACAGGGATTGGCCCAGATGCCACAGATGTGCCTAGCAGGGCATTTGGGACAAGTTACACGTGTCTGCCATGGTGGGACTGGTTAAACTGGGGTGTCTTGCTACATTAAGATACTGGGCAGCTCGCAGAATGAATAAAGCCCTGCATCAGCACAGATCCTCAGTGGAGACCTGGGTTTCCAGACTGGGTTTCCACAGACCTCTGTTTCTGTTTAGTATCGAAACAGAGATGTGTGCCATGTAAAGTGGACCTGGGGTCCTAAGGAGTTCACAGCAAAAAATATAAAATATCCCAGACTGACCTTTCTCTGTCTGTTACGTATTGAGACGATGTTTTGGGTGTATTGGGTAAAATAAAATATATTATTAGAATTAACTTTTCTGGTATCTTTCTATTTTTTTAAAAGATTTTATTTATTTATTTGAGAGAGAGAGAGAGAATGGGAGAGAGAGAGAGAGAGAGCATGAGAGGAGAGAGGTCAGCGGGAGAAGCAGGCTTCCCGCTGAGCAGGGAGCCTGATTCAGGACTCGATCCCGGGACTCCAGGATCATGACCTGAGCCGAAGGCAGTTGCTTAACCAACTGAGCCACCCAGGTGCCCCCATCTTTCTATTTTTAATACAGTTGCTAGAACAGTGAAAATCACATATGGGGGAAAACAGTGTGGCTGCTTCTCAGAAACACGGACCTCAAGTTAGCGTTGTACGCAGACTCCCTGATATCTGTCAAAAGGAACTGAAAGTAGCGACTCAATTACTTGTGCACCTGTATTCAGAACAGCACGATTCCCAACCACCAAAATTCGCAAGCAGCCCGGACCCTCACTGAGGCACGAATGCATTGACACAATGTTGCCCACCCACACGCTGGAGTATTATTATCATTATTAGAAGGA